CTCATCTTTCTCCCGCGGAGCGGCTGGTAGTTTCGAACCACTGACCTTAAGGTTCGCAGCCCGATTCGTTACCACTACGCTACCAGAGCTCCCTATATGTATGTGTATAATTTAAATATATTGTTGTTGGTAAGTGCCTTCGAGTCAGTTTCGATTCATAGTGACCCTGTATAGGGTTTTCAAGGAGTAAGTTTGAATCACAGACCTTGCAGTTTAAACCGACCTTGCAGTCCAGGACTTATCCTACAGAGCCACACCAGAACTCCTTAAATATATGTTGTTAAGTGCCCATGAGTGTGTTCCAACTCATAGGGACCCTGTTTAAAGTTTCCAAGGAGCAGCTGGTGAGTTTGAACTGTGAACTTGTGGTTCAAGCCTAGTCCATTGCTGTGTCTCACAGAACCACACCACACCAGGACTACCCTGAAATATACGTTGTTGTTGTTAAGTGCTGTTAAATCTGTTCCACTCATAGTGACCCTGTATAGGGTTTCTAAGGAGCTGTCCAGTGCTTATCATAGGTTTAAATTGGTTGGAAGGCATCTGTTACTTTCCCTGATAGTATAACATAAAAGATGAGTTGCTCCCAGTTCTTTTCTGGAAAGAGGAGAATAGCAGGAAGATAAAGTGATCATAATACTTACTATGCATTAAGCATTTACGGTGTGCCTCATCCTGTATAGAAAGTACTTAGATATTGCTTTACCTACCTATTAGCCAAATGAAGTCAAATGAAGCATAGGGTTCAGAAATTTACCCAAGAGCATTCTGCTACTAAATAATAAATCCTAGATTCACATCTAAATTATACCAATTCCCAACGCTTGCCTGTATTTTGAGGTGCTCATGCATCTGGGAGTTATATCAACACCCAGCAGGTTGTATCACAGTCCCTAAATTAATGACTGAGTCATCCTACTCACATATAGAGACCCGAGATTGTTGTTTTAATTTCACTAATTTCCCTTCAAGTCACAGCCTTTGTTCATTGCTTGTGATCTCAACAAACATTTATCATATACCCTTTGGGTGTCATGCATAGAGCTAAAGTTTCGGCCAAGCCTTTCAATTGATGACTCTTAGCTTCATATGCCTAACCCTTTTCACATGGGACACACCAAGTCGGAAGCAGAGTACCTGATCCCACAGTAGTGTCTGTTTTCTCCCTGACTTGTCCCTCATGTGGTTTTGTCTGCTAACATGTTATATGATGACCTGGAGAAATGGTTTTGGAATTGTTTCTGTGTGTGGGCTTAGCTTCTAAATTAGTTTTAGAACTAATGTCTTGAGCAAAGACTTAAAGACTAGCATTGCTCCAGTTGTGTCCTCAGCTTGTTGCCACATAACAGGGAGTTTTGTTTCAACCTAACGGCCTTGAATGGTCTTTGTTTTTATTAAGTGCCATCTAGTTAGTTCCAACTCATAGCGTCCGTTCCTGTATAGGGTTTCTGAGGAATAGCTGCTGGGTTTGAACCACTGGCCTTGTGGTTAGCAGTCCAGTGCTTATCCTACTCATAGTATAGGGCTTCTGAGGAGTGGGTTTGAACCACTGACGGTGGGTTTGAACCATCGACTTGGTGGTTAGCAGTCCAGTGATTGTCCTACAGTGCCACACCAATACTCCTTGGATGGTCTAGGAGTGTGAAGGAGGCAGGAGGGTAGAGGGTGTGACACTGTTGGATAAGCATTGGATTGCTTACCACAAGGTTGGCGGTTCAAACCCACCTGCTGCTCTCAGAAACCCTATACAGATTTGTTATGAGTAAGAACTGACTCTGTTGCACTTATAAACAACAGTAGCATCTGTCTGGGTAATGTCCCTACATATTCCTAGGCATAAGAGACTTCAGCAATCTGGATGGGAGAATGAAACCTAGCAGATATACTTTGTAAAGCACTGAGATCTGGAGACCTGGAGGCTAGCTCTCTAGTTCTAAGCCTGCTGGGCTCTGAGGCTTGAGGGATATGGGGAGGAGTTTCAGGGCTCATCGGGTATCATCTTAGGCAGCATTGGGACAGACACAGCCTACCAAGAGGCATGATCTATCAAGGGGATGGCCTGCCAAGACTCCTGCCCCATCCTGTGCCCTGTGCACTTGATAGCTGGGCCCTGGGATTCCTGGTGTGGCTCTGTGGCATAAAACACTGGACCTCAAGGTCAGTTTGAACCATAAGATCTGTGGTTCAAATTCACCAGCTGTTCCTTGGAAGCCATATACAGGGTCACCAAACCAAATAATTCCTATATCACACATGGTGGAAGTTAAACAATGCAAACCTGTATACGGTGGGGGTTTCAAAAAACGTTTGTAAAAATTGTCTGAACAGATAAGTTCATTTTTTTTTCAAAAACATTTTCAATTTCACATGTTTGGGCAAATTTGGGGGATAGAATAACATCCCCTACCCCCAAATACAAACACCATACATAGACTGAGAACAGTCTGGAAACACAAAGTGGAAAGGTAAACTCCCTACTTTTAGGAAACTCACCAGTGAGTGTGAACAAGTCAAAGAAGAATGAATAATACAGGTTTAGAAAAGGACATGCAGTCTTTGGGGACAGTAGCATTTGAAAAGCTTCAATGAATCAAGTTGCAAGAATCATAGAATAGATTTGCCTGCATAAATATAAAATTTACTACATGGTAAAGCATCAAAAGAGGAACAAAAAGATAAGCAATAAACTGGGGTAAACATTTAACACCTGTGAGGAGTAATTAGACAAAGGACACGAAGGCATATCTTATAAACATGGAAATGAAATGGCTAAAAAAATACATGATTGTTATTTTACCACATTCATACTAAAAGACATGCAGGATTAAAAAAACAATGAGATAGCAGTTTTCCATTCTGACTACCTAATTAAATTAAAAAGAGAGAAAGAGAATGTTTATTTCTTGCCTGGGAGTGGCAGATAAACACTGTCTTGTACTGTTTAGTTAGTATCAGCTATTACAACATTTCTGGAATCCAGTTTGACAGTATCTTTATATAAACATAAATAAATCTTCATTCATTTAAATGAAGTTTACACCTAACTTTGTTTAAAATGTATTCTTTAGCTCACTGGTTATATAGCCAAAATAATAAAAAATGTTGTTGTTGTTGTTGTTAAGTGACATCGATTTTGTTCTTATTCTTAGCGAACCTGTATAGGATTTCTGAGGAGTGACTGATAAATTTGAACTGCTGACTTTGTGGTTCAAATTGACTTGGCAGTCCAGTGCATTATCCCACAGCAATACACCAGGACTCCAAATAAGAAAAGTAGACAATGAAAACTAACTAATAATTGTTACTGTTGTTAGGTGCCGTCACGTCGCTTCTGACTCATAACAACCCTGTACAGAGTTTCAGAGAAGCAGCTTATGGAGTTGAGCTGTTGACCTTGTGGTTTGCAGTCCAGTGCTTATCCTACAGTGCCACACCAGGAATCCCACTAATAGCTAACTGGTATTTATTATTTACTTTATTATGTAACATTAACTCATGTAACATATCAGCTCTGGGAAGAAGTATGGTTATCACCAATCTGTGGATCAAGAAATTGCAGCAGCGTGGGTATGTGAATTTCCCACACTTATTCATCTGGGAGAGGCTAAAATGGAGATTCAAACCCACACAGATGGTCAACAGATACCATGTTCCTCAACACCGATCCATAGAGCCTTACACATAGAGATGGTCATGGTGTTGCATTATAATAAAATTGTTCTTATTGTGTGCTGTTGAGTCAGTTCTGACTCATAGCACCTGCTTGAACCTTGCAGTTCAAACCAACCTTGAGGTGAATTATAACATGAAGGGACATTATGTGGCAATTAAAGTGATATTAATAGATATTTTTGTTAGAGGATATTTATTATATAGCATTAAGTGAAAATGCAGCATATGAAATACTTTTACAAGATCTTATTTGAAAATATGTAGAAAAAGCACAAGAAAACAGGCTAAAATATTATGCATGTTGAGATTATTTTCTTTTTCTCAGTTTTAATTTTTTTTAAAGTCAAACAACAGTGTCCTGTATGAGCTGTGTTGACCTTAACCTTAACCCGAAGGGTGACAGAATGGAAACCACACTTTTCTCTCTACCCACGATAAAAAAAAAATAGACAGGATTAATTACAAAATGTATGCAGATGAGGGTGGGAGTGGATAGGTTTCAAACCATAGAACGGTTCTAATTTGATTATCTAAACAGTTGGCACTTTCCATACATATTTATCCCTTTATCTTTTTATTATTGATTATTTATCCTTTGGAAATACCACCAAAATCTTGATGCTATTATTCATAAGAATTGATGTAATAATTTGGTTGGCTAGCCATTACACTATACCCAGGGTCAGAGCATTCATTGGTAGTCCTTTTGTGGGATGGCAAATGAGTGGGAGTTGGTGAGAGGAGGTGAATTCCTCAGATGTGGGAGGCTACCATGCATTCAAGAAGTCTTCCCAAACATTAGCTCATTTATTTACTCAATGACTTTGGAG